CAAATTTGATAAAAATTTTACGACGGTGAAATTCGCCTATAGTATAATAAAAAAACATAATAAAACGCAGATTTCACCCTAACCCGATCTACAAAGCGGATTTCACCCTAACCCGATCTACAAAGCTGATTTCACTACGTACGCATTTTGCGGACAATCTAGTCCCAACAAATGAAAATTTTTAGCGGCCAAATTTAAAATTTAATTTATACATATATATATATGGTACGGCCAAATTTGAAATGTTAACATAATGTGATTAAATTATTAATTTAACATATATAGCGATAGTCAATTTAATACGTACGTATAAAGTGGCCAAATTTATCCTATAAAAAAAGTCGATCCGTATTTTATATTTTATATTCCGTGTTTTGTCCATAAATGTTGCATATTCACGGAATCTATAACCTTAAATAATGGAGATTATTCGGCTTGTCTAGATATTGTCAATCATGTTGCAGATTCACGGAGTTTCCACAAAAAATATCGGAAATATTTTTTACAGGGTTAGGCCAAATTTGCTTGTTTAATATTATATTTTAAACGGCCAAATTGCTTGTTTAATTATAAAATTACTTTAATTCTCTACTACAGTACTTTATTAAAAAAAAAAAGAAAAAGAAGTTTAAGACCAAGACGTTTAGCTTGAATGATTTTAATGTTCTATGAAGAGATTTTTTGTTTATTGTTTTGTGAACAAGGATAAGTTAGTCAAATTTATTTGTTGGGACTAGGTTGTCTGCACTGTAGCTATCAAGATATCTTTGCAAATTATTGGATCGTCTTCACATGATCGACTGTACTTCGTAATACCGTAACGGTAATCCAATAATTTTACCATAAACTATTAACTCGGATAATTATTACCTGCATACTTCACTGGGGTGTGCGGTCAACTATGTAAATCAAAACTATGTAGTATCATACAGTATAAAAATTAATTATTGAAGATTTTTTTGAATTTAGTGGTCAGAATAGTGATCGGAATGATTTATCACTTTGAATATATATGTGTTTTAATAGTAAAGAATGACTTGAATGTTTTTAGATGTCTAGAGCGAATCGCTTTATTTTTTTTTCAATTATTTTAGCATAAATCTATTCTTAAACGCGTTTATAACAAAGTTACGTTAAACAAGTTTCTAGGTTCTAGTATTAATTTTTTTTTACCTGCCACGAAAATATTTCTTTTTTTAATAGTTCAGAATTTTTGTAAAGAGTCAACTTGAATTTAAATATTAACGTTAAAAAAATCCCAACGTAACTTTGTTATAAACGCGTTTAAGAATAGGTTTATGCTAAAATAATTGAAAAAAGTAAAGCGATTCGCTCTAGACATCTAAAAACATTCAAGTCATTCTTTACTATTAAAATACATATACAAAGTGATAAATAATTCTGATCACTATTCTGATCACTAAATTCAAAAAAAAATCTTCAATAATTAATTTTTATATGATACTACACATAGTTTTGATTTACATAGTTGACCGCACACCCAATACTTCACCTACAAACATTTTATTATTTATTACTATCACCACGTTTAGTTATGAAATTTTGAAAGAAAGCTTTATGTAACTGGTTTTATTTATCAGTTTTCATTTTGCGTAACATAAAAGCAGCTACGCAATACGTTAGATTTTCGTAATTTATGTAAACGTAATTTGTAATTTTTAACACATTATTAATGTACAATAATGCTGGCCAAACTTTTGTAAAGCCGGTACTTTATATTTTCGTAACACAAACCTATCAAAAAATTTTACCGTTTTGTGTAACCCGAGCTTCCGGACTTAATTATGCCCGAAAATCACCCAATTTTGGCGAATTTTACCAATAAACCCGCTAACCAATGTACTAAGTAAGGTTGCTCAGATCGTAATTTTGCTATAATATTAGTTAGCTTGTATTAGGCTTGCTTCGCAGGTCCAATCCGAGGTCCGAATCTTAATCGTCGGATCGAATTCCGGAAGCTCGGATTACACAAAATGGTAAAATTTTTTGGACATTACTAAATGAGATATCGATATGTAATTTGTTAATCTATCAAAATCAAAAATCATAGGTATACATGTTGGCAAATCAAAATCCCACCCAAATCCCAAACATAATAAAATTGTCCCAAATCCCAATCCCAAACATAGTAAAATTCGTCCCAAATCCCAATCCCAAATTCCAAATCCCAAATCCCAATAGTTTTGCCAACACGTATACTCATAACATGAAGTTTTAAAAATGATCCAGCAACCCGACTTTTTATATATAAAAAATATTGTTTTTTTGCAGATTTCTAAAGAAGCCCTTCCGGGTAGAAATAAAGTCAAAAATTTTTTTTGAAGTTTTGCAAAATTTGACCCGGCTGGATCATGAGAACAATTTATTAAATTTGTATGGCCCATTCATTGTTGCGTTTAGGGATTGGAACCGCCTAAAATTTTTCTTAATCGTTTAATCGTTTAACCGTTTAACTTGACCGGCATTAAAAAATTCCGACCCACGACCAACATAATTCTACCCGGAACTATGGAGCAATTTTTAAACGGTTAAAAAGTTCCAATCCCTAGTTGCGTTCAACCCAACCTTTCTATGCATTGATTCACAAAAGATTTAATGTTGCGAAGCTACCGACGAAAGCTCATCTGGCATTATTAATTTTCCGTTTTCATTAAGTAAATAGTAACTTGAGATAAATAATACGGAAAAAAGATAGTTGTGTATCCCATGTGCAACAATTCGTGGAACCAAATTCTCATTAAAGACCTGAAAACAAATATCAGCATTTTTATCCGAATTATCCGAATTAGGTATTATGATTTACCTACACTTAATTACAACTATAGAAATTTATTTAATTTCCTTTAAGAGTTTGTATTACCGGAAATCCATGCATTGGACCCTTTATACTTGATTTTCCTGATTTTACGCATGAGATCAACTTTCTTCGCTTATCGGATATCTTGTAAAAAAAAATGAATCAAATTTTAATGATTTTAGGCCTTTGTCTACTACTAGGCCTTGTATTTTTCAGTTTTCCCAAAGACCTTGGTAATGCACCTTCACAAGATACTTCGCGCCTTACAGGATACAAAGCATGGCACCCTAAAGTAATCGGTCTGTACATACATAATGATGAAAAAACAATCTGCCAATTTGCGTTCTCATTCGATTTTGTCTATTATATAGGTTACAGTTACCAAATGTCCGATGCGATGCTTTTTCTTATTTTACTTACGACCGGCGCTGCTTCATATTTGTCCATAAAATGGACTGAAAAATTTCCTCCTAACAAGAAATATATTTCGTACTTTATCAAAAATGGTAACAAAGTGCCCACAATATTATTCGACCGAATGATTGCATATTACGTTGCAATAACTTTTATTGCTTCGGTTGCTTATGCGATACTGGATGTCGGTAAATTATGGTCTGCAGTTGGTGTTTTGCATAATGTATTTGAAATTGTGGTTATGTTGTCATTACATTACGGTGGTAAACTCGAGTCACATGCGGCATTTATTTGGATGGGTATTTACGTTTTTTTGGTTATTTCCTTGAATGTGTGGCTCGAATGGCCACAGGATGCAAGCTGGTTCAAATTTCAAGGTATATTATTGTATGTTATTGATGCGATATATTGCAAAAAAATTTGAAGTAATCTAACTGTTTTTTTTTTTTTTTTTTTAAAAAAAAAAAAAAGGCCTTTGTCTCGATTACTCAATGATCGTAGTATTCGTACGGTTGTATTTTACAACACTTAAAAAGCTTCGCGAATACGAATCTATGGAAATTCCTCTAAACAGAGATGATACAACGGATCTCTCCCCTAACTTCTATCCAAATACTGTCCATCATCCTTCTCAACTTTGGTTATTAATTTTAGCGTCGATCGTTCACCTTATTGGTAACATTGGTAATTCTATTTGGGTGGATAGTGGTTTAGCGTAAGTATGAAGCTAAAATTTCGTCATGTAAAGTTAACGAAAATACACTCATTAAATATGATATATAAATTTTATTTTTTTAGATTTTTTGTGTTTCATGCAAGCTATCTGGTTGCTTTTGTGCTATTTGCTTACTACGTATACATAGATACGCATTGTATGAATTATACCGGAGATTCGCACAAACTAATTTATATATTTGACACCTCTCGATCTAAAGTTATTTCATGCGTGCTTTTCGGAATACTTTGCTCGGTAGCGACAATTCGGTTTGCCGTATTCATTCAAACTACAAACAATTAGATACATAAATACTCTGTATACTAAATTAACTGTTAACATTTTATATATTTTTTTGTTAAGTTAGGTAAACTTTATAAATTATTAGTGATGTTTTGAATGGATTCGTAAATATGTGTATAGACGCTACAAGATAGTTTGATACAATAGCAGTTTTAAATTTGTATTCTTTAATTATGTAGTGAAATCTTTTTTGATTATTTTTATAAATATATATATATTAAAAGTTATATAGTAAGACCTTTTTAAATGCAACAACTTTTCTAAATATATACGTGACAATAAGGTGTTCAATAACTAATTAATCAAAACATAGGGTTAGGGCTCCGCATGGACAGGGTAGGCCCGGGTAGTAAACATACCCTTACCCTGCCCTTGATATAAGGGCCTGACTTATTTAAACCCTACCCTTGCCCAGGGCCTAAAACTTAATATCCTAACCCGGCCCTCAAAATTATGGGTAACCCACGGGTACCCGTGGGTTACCCGTCCTTCAAGATAATAATTAAATCAAATCTAGTTTATAATCGATCTTAATTATTTATTTTTATGATAGCACTTTCAGTTATCACATCTTCCATATTATTTACTCAATACTTACCCTTACTCCTATTACTTTAGCTCTTGTATCGTTAATGAATATAACTTTCAATTACTTTCATTTACTATCATTATCATTGATAAGATGTTCTTGACAAAAAAAATTTTTTTATAATGAGTAGCTTGTCATCGAATTGCGAGGTCAGATGACTTTGTGGATCGCATGCTTAGATTGGCCTTTTATGAACTGTAATAGTTTGCTGTGTTGTCCTTGATAGATCAGGTTTTTTTTTTGGTTAGGTTTATGATCGTTAAGTGCTGAACAGATATGAATGTTAACAAATTAGTGGTAAAGTAAAGGATTATTTTCATATGGCTTCAAGTGTGAATCAGATCAGTGGGACGGAGGGAGAAAGATGTAATGTAGTGTATTTAAGGTTTTTAGTAAAAAAAGCTTATCTATCGTTTGCCTTGCAGGAAGGCTACTCTATTGTCCCTCCCATCCCACCCACAGTGCAGTGACCCACAATAAGTTTAAATACATGACGGTTGACTTGTGTGACAAGGTGTAATGTCAGGCCGTAGTGTGTAAGGACCTGGTTTTGTTTTAGTTTTTTATTTTTGTAACTATGAAGCTCCGCGGCTGCTGCAGTAGTACAAGGATTTGGTTTTTGTAGTGATTAGGCTCCGAGACTGCAGTAGCAGTACAAGGACCTTAGTAATTAGGCCCCACGGCCGTGGTAGTAGTGCAACACCTGGTTTTTGTAGTGAGTAGCAGTACAAGAACCTTGGTAATTAGGCTTCGGGCTGCGGTAGCAGTGCAAAGAACTTGTTTTAGGCTTCATGGCTACTGTAGTATTGCATGAACCTTCGCTAAATGGGTTGCAGGCTCCGTGGCTGAGATAACAGTACAGTGTATTTAAAAATCTCAGTTTACTTCTAGTCACTATAACTCAATCCTGTATATACCTGAGTACTCACATGCATATGTATAAACTTTACTGATGCCAATCGTACTGGTCTTGCGCGGCACCACATGCTGCGCAGCTACCTTATATTATATCTGCTAATATCTTGATGCCGTTTGTTAGTATGCTTATGCGCATGATTCAGAATCATGCGTATAATTGAGGAATTATAGGCACGCATGAAACCTATCTCTATTATATGTACTTCTGAGATTTGTGTAAAGTAGTACAATCAAGAGCTATAAAAAAATATCAAATTGAAATATATTACGGGTACCCATCAGTACCCTGGGCTGGACAGTAATACTACCCTAATCCTACCCGTCTACACAAGGGCTTAATATTTCAAGTCCGGCCCTTACCCTAAACTCAAAAATCAATATCCTAATCCAGTCCTTAAAGGACTACCCACAGGGTACCCACGGGTAGTCCAGTCCTTTGCGGAGGCCTACTACTATCCTATATAAATACTCGTGTAACGTCGATCCTGTCCCCCATGTCAATTATTGATTAAGTATGTTATTGCGGGCCAGATATTATGTTAATGCTAGCCAGCTGATATGGTAATGCCAGCCAGAAATTTTATTTGGGATCATATTAAAAAATCCGGTAAAATCGCCACCCAAAAAAGTTTCATGACCAATCATATCTCAAGATCAGGGGTAACGTAACACAATCAAGAAAATTCAAAACAAACGTTCGTTTTGTCAAAAATCGCTTATAACCCAAAATTTAGTCTATGAAACTGCCTTCTGCGTATTAATTAAAGTTTTCCTTATAAATTTTTGTATTTTAAACATCGACCTAATAATAAAATCCTAACCCTAACCTAAAAAAACGAAATTTTACTTGAAACTTTTTTGGGTGGGGATTTTATTCTAGTTTAAAAATCCCGCGCGTGCCCATCTCTACGTGGTGGTGTTACTTTGGAGATGCTCTTAATGGAATAGAGAATAAGGTAGGTGGTGTGCACAATGTGGTCTTATGGAAGCTAAAGAAATTGCACATAGCAGAGGAGGTATGTGTCTTTCTACGGAATATATAAATCTCCGTGTTCTGATGCAATGGATGTGTGACAAAGGCCATAAATGGTTTGCAAGTTTTAATGGTATAAAGCATGCTAAATTATGGTGCCCATATTGCTTAAATAAACACGAAAATTTATGTAGTAAAATCGTAACAAAAATTCTTAGCCCACCTTCTGATATTCGCAGACCAGATTTCTTGAAAACACCAGAGTATCCACGAAGATTAGAACTTGACATTTATTATCCGCAATATGGATTTGCAATAGAGGTACAAGGTAAGCAACATAAGCAATACGTAAAATACTTCCACAAAAGTGAGAAAAACTTTGGGGAGCAATTAATACGTGATCAGCTCAAAAGGGAACTATGCGACGAAAATTGGACCGTTCTTATAGATTCATGGTATTACGAAGATCCGTATATAATTATTCCGGAGTACCTTAAAGGGTTGGGACTTATTGATTAGTACTGTAATAAAGTTGAAAAATATATACAATACTCAGATTATAAACTTATCAAATTACCTTATCGTTACGTATTCTTAAAGCCAAATACAAATTTAACGCATCAATTCAGTTTGGCAACATATATTATATACACATAAAATGTCTACTCGTCGTCGACTGAGGTCGTTATTTTATATCTTTACTGAAAAGATTGGGTTAAACCTTGTTTTTTTTAACTTTCAATTTTTGTATTCTCAGGCATCCCAATATCATGGTGTTTTGCTTAGTTCTAGGTGAAGCTCCTGCCAAAAGGAGAATTTTTGTGATTGATATTACCGAAAATATTTCGACCGTTTCGCATGCTATCAAGAAAGCGAAGGAACCTGATTTGGATCATTTTCCTCCAATAAATTAATATTATGGAAAATTAATATTTCTATCAACAACGAAGATAGGCTGAAAATGCTTGATGATAAGTCTCATGAAATTGATGTTGAACAAGACTTGGGAGGTATAGAGCTGTTTCCGGCAGATAGAATTCCAGAGGATTTCTATGAACAACAACCACCTTCAGTAAAGATTATTCATATCATCATACAACCGCAACTTGTAAGTATTTTCTAACGGTTTACCCTTTAAAAGAAGAAACGTTCATATAACACATTGTTTATTGGTTTACACATAATTTCTGTTTTTGCTTTTTGATAAAAAAAATAGACCAAGAGCGTATTAATATACAAAATCGCAATATTAATTATCTGCCTCGGCAAAGTATGTATAAGTTATTTTTAATCGCTATGCTTATATTTTTAACCACTACTCTTTTCTAGATGGTCTTGGTGGTACAATGTTACCTTATTCCGCGGATCATAAAACATTTGAGAGTATATCTCTTAACAATCCTGACATTAGTTATAGATCCAAGGTTGTATTTTCGTTGGTCAAAGATCTTATAGAAGAAAAGGTCTTACTTGTGTGAGCACCTCCTTACTCTGGGAAAACGTCATTAGCTCAACTTATTGAGTATCATTTGGTTAACTCGTCTGAATATTCTTCAAATTATAGGATTATAAGAGTTTCAATGCTTTGGGGTCAATTGTGGGAATAGATTGCAGTTGGGAAACGTTTGGGGATGTATGGAGGAGAATTATTGGTGTAAGTTGGATTGAATGGATAGGACAATGCCAACATGTACCAACGATTTTAATATTAGATGAAATTCAATTGATATACAAGCAGAAGTGTGGAATTGACGAAAATAAGAAGTTGAGTGCTGATGCGTTTTGGAAAACTGTATATGGATCTAATAACTACATTTTGTTAATAATTGCTAGGGGCAATTATTTAATGTTACCTGTAGCTAGAGATGGGCATGCGCAGGATTTTTAATATGATCCCAAAATTAAATTATCTGGCCGGCATTACCATATTATCTGGCTGCATTAAAATAATATCTGGTCTGCATTAACATAATTAGTAATTGAGCCACCCAAAAAAGTTTCGAAAATCATGTGATATTGTCAATTCATGATTAGGTTCATGATACTGTTATGGGCGGAATAGCTGCGACTTGGTCGCTCCACAATCCAAAAATTTGCGTAACCTGCGGGTAGTAACCTTATGAAAGAGGTGTGTTAGATTTGGCTGGTGGGTGATTTAAGGCTTCGGTTACTCTGAGTCAGCAATACTAGATCACGTGAACAAGGGCTTAACGAACGACAAATTATAACTTTAGGGTTCAAA